ACGATACCCGGGGCCCAAAGTGCCCATCCAGGGGCGTGGGACTGAGTATACTAGGGACCTAAAGTGCCCATCCTGGGGCGTAGGACCTGGCATAAAGTAGGCTATGAGATGAAAGGGTATAGGAGATGAGGGGACTAGTGGAGGAGGACATATGGCCGATAAAGTATAGCTTGGGTTAGGGTTGAAGGGGGACTGTCTCCTGATTAGGGGGGGTAAAGGGGATAAGACTCTACACCTACCTAAGGGGGGATCGGCCTAAGAAACAATCTACTAAGTCAAGCGAGGGAGGACAAGACTGTTTAGAGTGTGCCCAATAACACCCAGTTGGAGGTTGGATCTGTAGGGACAGTAATCTGATCTCTAGTGGCAAGCTGGTAGGTGCAGGTGGGACACGGCTTGCGATAGGTAGGGGCCTTCAAAGCCTCTATAAGGACCCGTCTAAGGATGATCCAGAAAGCTAAAGGGATGTGGGTCATCTCGAACTTCGAGTGGCTGAACCCCGAAGAACATCCCCGTGCCTGAGGCCGTGCCTCTACAACAACCTGGGCGTTTTATTAAAAAAAARAAAAAGAAAAAAAAAAAAAGAAACTGCGAATGACCGAAAAAAATCGCGCGGCAGTTTGCCGCGGGGTCAAAATTCCGAGCGCCCCAGGCCCACCTGGCGCGCTACCGTCCTACCTAACGCTATGCTACGCTGCGCTGTGTTGCGCTAATTTTCAGGCTCACAGTTTAGTTTTCGCAGTTTTTTCGGCGGTAAGGCGGCGCGGCGGGCTGACTGACTGACGGGGACTTGGCGGGCCGGCGCGCGGGGCCGTGTTGACGGCCGACCTTTTTTAGGGTTTACAACCGGCGGCGTTGACCCTCGGGGGTGACGAAGGATAAAGGTTAGGGCAAGCGAGTCTTCCGTCCCCATCCTCGGCTAGACGATGGAGACATGCTGGGTAAGGTGTGCATCCTTCACTTTGTAGCAGTCAAGGCCCGCACGAGTACCTGATGGAGTTTTGGCAGGCGGTGGTCGCCCTCGACATACTCGTCATCTGGTTCGTGGCTGAGCTGTATCTTGTCAACCATCYGGATGAAACCTGGAGAACTCTTCTGCAAGCGCGGCTGAAAGTGGTCAGTCTGCGACTGGTGTATCTCGCGGCCAGGTTAACTATTACGGCGCTGTTATGGTTGGGCATTGGTCCCCTTCTGTTATTCGTGTGGGACGACTACTGGCCGCGCTGGCAGCGCTTGCTCATCCTGTTGACGGTGCCAGTAGTGGGACTGGTAGCTCTTCACCTCAACGAATTGCTTGAGACCCTCGTAGCGGGGAACGGCAGGTAAGGATCACGAAGAGTGTCGTGTCTCCTTTACGAAGGAAGGCCTCAGACCAGCAGCCCAAATGGGTGGTTTCGCCGGCGTGAGAAAGGGAATAGAATAGTATGATGTTGTGGTAGGACGTACCCCAGGCTGAGGGGGGGGGGGGGCGAGGTAGAGGGTTTCCACACAAGGAGAGAGTGATCGGCTTACTAGCTGACCCGGAGCTCTCCTTGATGCATACCGGGCTGCCGTTGTTAAGGATATTGGCTTTTGGATTACAGCTCGTGTATCCGGTTGAGCTCGCGAGAGGCGAGCGAGGCTGCAAAAGAGCGTTCGGGTTGGGTTACCTCGGGTAAACGCCGGTGCAGCGTCAACCAGTGGTAGGGATTGTACTGCACTCAGGTGCGAAGCACCTCTCGCAAATATGGAGGGTTTTGGTATGCAAGTAGGTAAAGCAAGTGTGTGGGACAGGGGAACTCTGATGACGGCCCTACGACGGTCGTATCTCTTACGATCGCCACTCGAGGACCCGGGCTTGGTGGAATATTTGACAGTCAATGGATACTGCATGGTGAGGCCGATCAATGAAGTCATCTATCTTCAGAACACTTACCTGCGGGCGCATATGGTTGTCGCCAAATTCCCCCCTGAGGCCAAGTGTTGGACCAGGGAGGCGAAGAGGGACTGGATTGGGAGTAAGGAGGCGGTGTGGACCTTGGGTAGAGGACCGTGGAAAGGGGATATTGACGTTGAAGGAGAACTTGTGGTTACGTACCTCGCCCCGACCGTGGATATTCGGGACTGGCTCGTCAATGAGCAGAGGACCGAGCCTCTAGAAATAGACGGCCGTAGCTTGGAGGTCACACTGTCTGCTTGGAAATCGCCAGCGGAAATGGCGATACTGCGCCGCAAAGATGGCCAGCGAAGATCATGGGTCAAGGTTTTTAAAGCATCACATATCGCGGAAAAATGGGTAAGAGGAGCCTTGGAGCACTTTTGTGGGCACGTCTTGGAGGAGCAAGTGCACATGGACGAGGAGCGGGCGTATACGCGATATGTGATAGACGGCCCGCTGGCCTCGCCATACATCGACACTTTAGCGATCGCAACCAGGGTTTACACATGCCAGGAGGTCAGAGTTGTTACTAGCGAAACCCCGTTCTGCGAGCTCTGTCGCATTCATGGGCACATTAATACCCGAGGCCGCTGCTTAAACAAGCAAGAATCGATTAAGGAAATGCAGGACAGGGCCGCTAGGCTCGCTATGTAGCCGATTCTACAATCGAGCCCGGAGATCGAGAGGGTTGCATGGAGAGAGACGGAGTTGCAAGTTGATATGCAAGTGTGGGATGAATGCCAAGGGGCCACGCAACACAGCCACAGGAAGGCGGTCCCTGTGGTCCGGATCCCCAAGCGAAGAAGGCACGGCGAGCTCTTGCGGCGCGATTGTGTATGGGAGGGCATCGCTCACACCGCTTCCGACCCCATGCAGGTGGACCCCGGGGGYTGGATGTTCGGAGAGACATCCGTGAAGGATAAAGGAGCGGTTACACAGAACCCTAACCGCAGGGAAAAGGAAGCGGAGAGCGCATGAGGCCCAGAAGGGCAAGGGACCCGGCCAGCTGCTGCAGAGGAAGTCCGGCAGGCTCAAGCAGGGACGCCCGTGGAGGTCCGGATGYCGGTTGAACAGGAGGAGGGGCCAGGGCACGGGCAGGAGAAGGAAGGTTCGATGGGTTTTGGTATGCCCAGGGAAAGAGAAGGAGAGGCTGAAGTCAGCCGGGCGGATGCAGTGGAGGAGGTGGGAGATAATTGCGCAGGCAAAGAAGTGGATAAAGCATTGGCGCATACGCTCATACCGCCCGAACTGCATCAGCATGTCAAGGCAGAGCCGGCGGCAGAGGCGGACGGCCAGGGAAGTATGGAGGTCCGGATGTCGGCCGAACAGGAGGAGGGGCCAGGGTATGGGCAGATGAAGGAAGGGTCGATGGGTTTTGGTATGCCCCGGGAAAGAGCAGGAGCGGCTGGATTCAGTCGGGCGGATGTAGTAGAGGAGGTGGGAGATAATCGCGCAGGCAAAGAAGCAGATAAAGCCTCGGTGCATACGCCCATCCCGCCCGAACTGCATCAGCACGTCAAGGTAGAACCGGCGGTAGAGGCGGATGGCCAGGGAAGCACGGCCAAGGAGATGAGTAATGCTCACCCAGGGGGGAAGACCGGACTGCCAGGCCTACGAGAAAGGGAGAATGGGTGGATAGTGGAAAGCCAGTCGGAGCAAGGAACACAGGAGGCCCTCCCCGAGCTGCGGCGGCCAGTCAAGCGAGAGTCGAAAGACGGCGAAGAAGCAAGTGGGGGGAAAGGGCAGTAGGAGGGAAGCAGGTGGCAGCGGACGAAGAAGAGGTCCGTCGACCAGATCGCGCCGGAGAATCGCATAATCAAGCCCCCCCCCCCCCCCAATCCGAATACGATATGCCTATTATCGTGGAAAACGACAAGCAGGAGCGAGAACCACACATGTACCTTAGAAGAGTTAAGCAAGTGGTCCCAGGGCTGGCCCAGAGCTCGTCAGCAGAATGCATTCCAGTGCCGACCTACTCTTCTGAATCAAACGCGTCCACCAAGAACAAGCGGGCGGTCCAGCCGGAACCGGATTGGAGTCATCCTCAGAACATGGCGCAAGTGAAGGACGGATCACCTCACGCTCGCCAGGAGGAGAGTCCCGAGCTGCAGACCAGTGAGACCTTAGACCAGGACGAGCCGGAAGGCGGGCAGGAGCTGCAAATAACACAAGGCAAGGAGGGGGATGGAACCAAGGACAACCAGCAGCAGGGTGAATCGGAAATCAAGGGAGAGGAGAACGAGATCCCTCCGCAGACCTGCCTGCAGCCGAACAGGGGGCGGAACGATCAAGACGCCCTCGGGGCACGGGAGCGAATGTACGGGGTAGGGTTTCATGTTGATGAAGAGGCGGAAGCACCGTTATGTGCATCGGCAGTGAATGCACGAAGGGAGACAGTCACTTTTGATTTATCAGAAGTTTTGAAGGCGGGCGAAGTGTATATCTGCCCGCTAGTGTTGTGGTGGTCTCCGGAAGGAGTGAAACTGCTGATGAAAGGCAAGATCAACGTACCAGTGTTTAAAGTCTCTGCTCTTCCACAGGTCCCCGAAGTAATAGAGCAAGCTCGCAAATGGTTGGGACCAGGGTATGACCTTGCTGAGCTACCGCACATATCTGCCTCACGTTTCATCCGACAAACTGATAAGGTCGCCGATTACGCTATCATGACTTTCTTCCTGACAGCGACCCCGGTAAAAGCAGGACGGCCCTGTATGCGGTTGCGAGGTGCACGTTGGGTGGACTTCACGGAGATTCAGGGACCTGCGGCACACCCAAGGGATTTCCACGTTATTTACCAGGCTTCGCTGGGCATCCTAGAACGCATAGAGGCTAAGCTCCCGGAGGAGGAGCGCTTCAGCTCCCATCACTTCAAGGAGGGTAAAGGTATATGGGAGAAGGCAGTTTAGGTTAGGGATTTTATTTTTTTGCGGGAAGTTGTGGGCCAAGGCAACTCCCCCCCCCAGCCATCAAAAAACATTGGGCATAGGTTTTGATGTTGTTAAAAGGGGAAGGTAGAAGGTAGCGGATGGTAGGTCAAACAGTCCGTGATAGATTAAAGATTTTGACATGGAATGCACGAGGGTTAGGGACACGATCCCTCCTGCCGAAGCGCAGGGAGTTGAGAAGGTTGGTGACAGCACACCAGATTGACGTTGTGTGCATCCAAGAGACCAAGTTAAGCGCCTCCAAGATCGCAACCCCCCCGATTTGGTGGAAGGGGCCTCAAGTGTGGGCGCCGGCCCAAGGTACGTGCGGAGGGGTCGCGATCCTCGTCTCCCCCTGTTTTAAAGGGACTGTCGTGGATTGGTTCTTTGACACAAGGGGGTATTGGKCCTGGATGGTATTGAAACGGGAAGAAGACACTTGGGCTGTCCTGACTGTGTACGGCCCGTCCAACCTCGGGGATAGGAGGCGCATGTGGGAGCAGCTGGTCAACATCACGCCACAGGCGGACAATGTCATCATCGCAGGGGATTTCAATACCGTTATGTCACCAGACATGGATGCTGCTACGCCACGGCAAGAGGAATCAGACTCTGTCGCCCTGCGCACAAGCATGGCCTCACTAGGGTGCGGTGACTCATTTCGTGCTCTGCACCCGGACCTCAGGGAATATTCATATGTAGGCAGCAACCCGGGGAGACAAAGCCGGATTGATTTGATTTGGGCCACAGAGCAATTGAATCAGCGATGTGAAAAGATCTGCATGCTGCCTACAGCGACTTCGGACCATGCGGCCGTGCTGGCCTCATATGCAATAGGTAAAATGGAGACGGGAAGACCGCCAGCGTCGGTTCCAGCGTGGGTGTTCTCTTGCCCAGAGTATCGGCCAGCCATTCAGCAATTCTGGGCAGACTGGGTTGAGCAATCACCCCACGAAGAGTATCTCCCACGGCTCCTTGAGGCTCTCGCCGCCCTTCGAAGTATACTGCTGTCGAAATTGCGAGTGCAGCGCATGGCACATCAACGAACCGGACAAGAATACGTGGAAAGACTGCTCACGTTGGACAAAGGGCCTGGAGACACCGACGAAGACGAGTGGTGGGCGGAGCGTGCGGAAGTAGCATGGCAATGGAAGGAATGGCAGGTGGAGGACGCGGCCTGTTGGGGGCAGAGGAGCAAGGAGGCGTGGATGGTGGTGGGAGAGAAGATGGCCAGACGTTTTTTTGCCGAACTAAAAAAGAAGAAAGCCTCCACTACCATGACTGCAATGACGCACCCGTTTGACCCAATTGTAGGCAGACAGGACACTACACGGGGCATACTCAAATGTGTCACTGATTATTATAAGGACCTGTTTACTGAGGAAGAGCTCTGGTCCCCAGACGCTATGGCAACTCAGCCACAGGAAGAGGTGTGGCAGCATGTTCAGACCCGGCTAGACCTGGATAGCACCTGCCGGCTGGATCAGGACATTTCTGCGGAAGA